TTCAAGATATTTACATTTTCCATTCGCGATCGCCCTAACTTCTAACGCTTGTGTAACACGATCTGTGTACAATACTGGGCAGCTATAACCTCATTATTAACGATTGGAAGAAATATAAATTAACACCATTACTGTTATTACCTACTCGTTATAAATATATAATTTAAGCGTTAATAATTGTTTTATGAAATGTTACGTTAGCGCTTAGACTGGTAATAGATGGTTATTTTAAAGCGGAACTTTAGTTTTCACTATCATTAGGTGTGAATATTAGTAATTTTAATATATTAAAATTATATTGAGAACAAGCATTTATATCTATGTCGTTCGTACTACTTTTAAACTATCAAATTTTTCTTTTTATATTGGCATGACTTTTTGTCGTATAGAATCAATATTAGGCAAAAACAGAGAGAAATAGTTAATTATTTTCCAAATAATTCATACCTCAAGTATGACGTCTATAATTTATGCTTTTAATCATATAGTTTTTTCAGAAGATCACGAATTATATTTTATAATGAAAATGAAAATGAAAAAATGTTATTTCTTTAAAAACAATACGGTTATAATAACGTAGTGTTGACTAATATAATGGTCAGTTCTTTTACAATGAAATTCTCAATTTTAGTATCGTGAACACATCTATCCAGTGAAGTGGGTCTATTGATTTGATATAGATGTATAATAGAATAAAATCAAATGACAGGCAAATGTAAATATTTCATGTTTGCACAATAAGGAACTCGGTGTCTAATTGCTTTGGAAGATAACCTCAAGGCAATTAGTTTAAACTTACACCGCGTGGGACACACAGATCAATCCAATGGCGAACATGAATAAGCAATTGGCCTAATAATAAGAATCTTGTTTTATGATATGCTGTTTTAAATTTGACGCGGTCATTATTTATACGTATAATTAGTAAAAATCACTGGATCTTACCACGTTTTATTTTTATTGAGTTCCCGGTTTTTCGGCAGTGTTTCACCCGCCTTGATCACGGGTAAACTGTCTCTGATTATAATGATGTTCATGATCTTTTATGGGTCATATATTAGAATTGTTTTTTTTGGTAATGTTCAAATTTATAAATCTTATGTCTTTTATTAAGATATTTATTGACTGGTGCTAAAAAAGTATGTAACTTTTAGAAGAGGTACTTAATAACTTTAGCGCTTATGTGTAAATGCTAATTAACTGGCTAAGGGTAGATAAAATACATTTAATGTTATCAAATATGTATAATATTATCAATTAAAAAAATGAATATTAGTCTAGTGCTCGGTGTTATATTGTTATATCAAATTCCGTTACTGGATGGATGGAAATTGGGTTTAAGTTTTATTAAGTAGCTAAGAATTCACACAATTTAAACAACCAACCTCATTTAAATGGAAAAGTGAATTGAAATGTATATACCAAATATTTAATAATAAACTGTATTAATAGCAATCAGTTTTTGGAAAATAAATTTTAATGCTTTTACATTATAGTCGATTTTATAATGATTATTTATTTATGAGTTAATGCAGATTATTATGAAATGTGCGATGTATAGCTTTCCGAACTCTACGGCAATGTGTATTGTTGTGCTTTCAGCAATTAACACGCGAACCCGATTGCTTGAGAACGAACGAGCGATTGTTTAGTAACGAGCCACCTTTGGGCATGTTATCGTCCATAGACACAAGTTACACAATGTTCGGTGGAGTTCGTCCCCGTGTGTATGTCGTAAGTTAATTAGCAGAACGATAATTGTTTACAGAAATTGCATTTATTTATGTACTTTTGTAATTTGCATATTCTAAGTGTCAATTGTATATCTGTAGTATTAGACACGCTTTTTTTAATTCATATCCGGTTGTAATATATCAATGTAATGCGTTTCGGTGAGATACGGCAGTGATAGGATAAGAGGTATGACATGCTCGTACTATTCTTCTGAAATGGTAACGCATGAGTGGTATAATGGCTTGTTGGAAAGTTTAAGACGATAATTAATATAGACAATGAAAATTGACAAACAGATACGACATATATGAGGGACTGATATGATATAAAAATATTTTACGGCCTCGGTGGTCTCGCTGTTTCGCACACCTTATTTCCGATGGTCGCGGTTTCGATATCTCGCACAGAATTGAAATATTTCTATTTTTGAGTATTTTCTATGTACAGAATGTATTAGAAAAAATTGATTTTTGTATTTGTATCTGTTGTCATAATGTCACCCATAACACAAACTCTTCTTTGCTAGATCTTAAATAGCATTGTGTGAATAGACGATGTCTGACTTGAAGTATTATGAGCGTCACATGATAAGGTAATGTCAGTAGTGCTTTCATGTATGTAGGCGTCGGTTACCTACTTGGGTCGTCAGCTTGGTTACCATTCCAATTATATAAATAGCTACTGACTGCAGATGTACATGTGTTAGATGGCTATACTGTATGTTTGTACTGGCTTTCTTTCAATGTAAAATGTCTTATTTTTTTAAATAATACATTTTATACACACACAAACTTGAATTACAATTCAATGTAAAAACAGCCCTATTATAATTGTCTTAGAAGAAGATGTAATTTCTATATAGTGTATCAGTACCGACTACCCTAAAACAGTAATCTAATAGGTAAAGCCCCTGCGATATAAGCTACGCTTACTGCAGGGATGGTTGTGTGTATACACTTTGTTTAATTGTCATACTGTTTTGTTAAGATCTATATTTACAAATTTTATGTCTCATGAAAATCTCTGTTTTTGGAATAACAAAATAAAGTCTGTAATAACAATTATTTATATCTCTGCGAAGGGAAGTTTTAGTAATGTGGATTAGTAACGTCATGTTAGGTTGACCTCCACGGGATTCCACTGGAAACAATCGTAATAAAATCGTGGTGAATTTTTCACATTGGACTAAATGACCCTTCCTTGTCTAATCTTAACATACCCCACTGGTACCCCGCTAGCGTAAAGCAGAAGCGGGTGCAATATAGATGCATATAATTGTCGACAGATGGCGCTAGTTGTCCATTCTGGTTATAATGACTTAATGTTAGGGTCGCATGTCGACTTCAGTGTAAAGTGAAGTTTATTTATGTCTCCATTACGGTAACCATAAATACCAGGCTATCAGCAGGTAAATGTTAATCGTGCGAAATAAGGAGAAGGGAGCGTGCGAATATTGGAACATTTTGTAATCATTTGAGAATAGGGACCCGAAGTACCTTCGTACTGTAATGAGGATGTTAATCGCTTAATAAACTTGGGTGTGTTAATGCCTGTATTCTATTATTTAATAATATATTTTATTTAATAACATAATATATTATCCACCATGTATACAATTTTGTATGCAAAACAATAAATAAATGAATAATAGTATTACTAATTAAATAAATTTAATAAATTACGATTCAATTTATTTTACATTATTAACGAATTAAACAAAATTACTTATACTACGAGATTATTAATTGGCATAAGATAATTCAATATGATCAGTAACATGTAAAATTATACCGTAAATCATCTTGATATAAAGAAAAATCTTTGTGTTTTTACATAGAAATTATATTTAAATAGAATTAAAATACGATTATAAAAATAATATCTAAGTATTTATATCAGTTGTCTAGTACCCATAACACAAGCTCTGTTTACCTTGCAACACATGCAACGTTACGTCAAATTAAATTATAGTTTTGGATTACCAGATATAAAATTTTACTTAAAATATAATACAATTTTATTGATTCGTTTCACACAATAATATAAAAAATACAAGCAATAATTTACACATTAAAACCACAACTCAGCGTAATGCTGGAAGCATAGTTTCCAGCGCTAATATCGGACCATTAACGGACATCTTACGTTATTTAATTACACGATGTAGTATCACGTGGCACTCTTTACGGGAATCCACTTATTATATATTTTTATATTTTGAACTGCATTTTAGACATGCTGTAAGGTGAAATTTTGTGTCTGAACTAGTGTAGACTATACTAGAACTCTAGATATAAAATGTTTTTATAATTATGCACTGTTTCACTGTCAAGATTAATGTACTAGGCTTGAAGTGTCGGCTATATACCGTCTCTACACTTTATAGTGGAAAGTTAGCAAAGATATAAGTTATACGACGCTTTTTAAGATGATATATTTGTTAGAATTTGTAATTTATGCAGATTTAGCCCTTAGCGAACACAGTATGAAGACACAATATAATAAAACGAAATAAACAACAATATTATTAAAATAAAGAATATGTTTATTTCATTATTAACTTATGCTATTTTGATAACGTGGATGATAATATAAATAGGAAATAATGTTTATTATTATTAATATTAGAAAAAATATATGATTTTATTGATTATTAAATTCATAAAACAAACAATGTTACCTTTAAAATATTAACGGTAGTAGCTTGCTGTAAAAAAATATAAACTTGATTACGTTTTAACAAACGATCTCTCAACTCAGCAGCATTGAGGCAAACCGTAATTACCAATTTAAATAAACATAAATACAAATCACATCGTTATAAATTTATAGTAAATTAACTTCATTATTAATGATGATCACGTTCAAGTCGAGTACACTCAATACCTTTTAAATACAACACCTCTCCGGGATCAGGACCGGCCAGACGTATCGAACAAAAAGCCAATTTCATAAAACTATGCACCGGACTGCAGGCCCATAACAATAAATGAGCAAAGCTCCAGAACCTGATATCAAGCCCAGATACATCGAACGCTTGCAATGTTAGTGCAATCGATATGTTTGATTTTCATCGCAAACTCGTCGCAGCTTATGAAAGAAAATCTCGTAATCAGACGGTAGTGGAAACTGTATTCGAAACCGGAACGAGTCGCATTAGTGTTGTGGTAGAAGAATCTGCAAGTCGAGCACACACAGGCACAACGGTGTGACGACGAAGAGGCTTCGACTGCACACAAGTCAAAAATATACGGCTCGTACCAGTCTGCAGCTAGCTGCCGGTCGTGACGCGTGTACTGCGCGGCGCCGCGACGTCTAACGCCGACATCGCGAAAAAAGTTTACACACGAAACTTTCTTTAAAGACTTTCCTTTCAACCCAAACATTGTTGAAGTGGAACTGTCTGCTTTTTCCCTCGAAAAACGTAAATGTGACCTTTCCTAAAACCGGAATTCGGTATCGTCCAGAACGGGTTTAGACTTGGACCCCGCCGTGGCAGGACTTTCGTGAAGTGCTAACTTGATTTTCAGAGTGGTGTGTTCAGTGTGAGTGACTGGATATTCGCTGCCTGCCCTTTATCGGTAAAAGGAAGAGGACTGGACTTTCTGTCAGTTCCTAAGGTGGGCTCCGGAGAAACAGTGCTTTTAAAAATATCAGTAAGTATAAAAAATGAATAATAATGAATACATTACGTGCAAGCATAATATGAAAATTGAATGGAAAAAATATAAGTATTGAAGAAGTAATAAATAAGAGATACCACGGATGAATATGCAACCGAAGAAAATTTAATACTTAGTCACGGCTGCGGTTATTCATTTTAGATACGGATGGTTGAATGTTTAAACAATCCTTGCCCTTGCCATTGCAAAAAGTGAACCAATATTTCAAATAAACGACTAAATTCAATGCATAACTGCAAAAAATATGTCGGTCACTTAGTAAACAATAGCTTAGTCTATTTAGAGTAATCAGCAAAATATATTTGTGTATATTTGTAATAACTTGAAGTTAATATGTACTTATAATTTAATGATTGCAAATGTAAAATATTTACCACACATCGATTCGTTAAAGAAAGATTGGCTACGATGTTACATTATATTATGCATATATTTTTAATAAACTTGAAAAATAATTTAGAGTATATCTGTATCCATTGAAATTGCATTTTAATTGATAAGTAAAGTGAAATTTAAAAGAAACATGATTTCCAAAAGTTAATATCGGTCACCTTTTAGGTCGTGTCTCGGATCAATCGAAAGTGCCATGTGTACACTCGAATCTATTTCCAACAGAACAGATGTGCAAAAACCGAACCAAAAAACGACTATTGAGCGCTTTGTGTTAGAAAAAAACATTGCGCCGCTAACTTTATTATTTTTTACTTCGAAGCCAAATTCGCTCTCGACACCGAGCGTAAGTAATGTGGTTTTCTTCTATTTTTGTTTGCAGAGAAATTATTGTTAACACTCACTGAGCCACAAAGGCTTTGAACTTTGCTTGATCTAGTAGACCCCAGTGAGCCTCTTTCAACTTTTTTTTGTTTCGCCCTCGATCGGCAGTCCAATCCAATACTTTAAACGTATCAGAATTAAGATCGTTTATGATTTCATTTCATAACTGTAATTGGTATTGTTCTTAAATGAAGTAATGTTTCAACTACATAAGGTGTAGGCATTTCACTTTGTTCTGCTGAATTGAATTGGGTTGGAGTATTCAATTAACTCATATTACTTAATTATCTGTCTGTTTTTATTTTTATTTCATAACAAACTTAAATGGCTGGTGAGTAGCTTCGTATTTTATCAATAGAGTTTGAATTACTTGCAATGGATAGAATGTTAGCTCGATGCAGTCGTGCGTCTCCGTTTATTGAATTAGAGAGGTACAAAAACCGACTTAGATAGGCCGGCTTAGTAAACAACTTGAGTAACGTTCGTAGCTGACACCGTCTGAAAAAGCAAGCAAAAGAACACCTCCTTTGAATGTCAGAAATTTTTTAACATTTTATATTTGTTTTCAATATACATTTTAAAAAATACAAATGAAATAAACCACTAAAGATTTATTTAGAATTAAAACAGTTCATTCTACTTTTTTTTCTTATATGTTATAGGTTATATAAATAAATTCCCATAGTAATAATTAATAATCGACAAAAATTTGATACACCCTGCTCATGTACGAATAGAGTAGGTACTTAAACTAATACTGCATTAGGCGATCGTTCTAATGCGTCGCTAATACAAACTATTGTTAATCCAGATCAAATAAATTAGAATTAATGATTAGACTACAAAAGATAGAGAAAGATAGTTGAATTGAAATATGGTGAATTTATTAATTCGCTTAAGATTGTTTTTATAATAAATATACTTTATGAAATACTATATGTAATAGAAAATGTAGATGAATTTTATAATAATTCCTTTTTTTAAATAAATACTACTGTTTTACACATTTCTATGTTGACCGTGATATAAAACGAAAGGATTATTTAAATCACCTAACAAACCAGAATTGAAGACAAAAATATAAGTCTACCATATATGGGTATTACAGGAAAAGATCTTAAGATGACAATAAAATATTTTTAAGAGGTAGCAAACAAGATGGTTTCAAGATATATTTCAAAATTAACACTTCCTGAAAATAATTCTGAATATTTGTTTTTTTTTTAAATATTAAAATAGTAGTGCACAAGAATCAGTAAATGTAAAGAAATAAAGATGTTATTGATAAAAATTACCGGAATACATCTAAGTGACGTGCAGATTTCCTATTTGAAAGATTGATTTACATATTCATGTAAATTGTGTAAACGATGTAACGTTTACTGTTTAAGTAACCAAAATATATTTGAAGGTCAAGTTATATTACTGGACATAATAGAGTTGTATAAACTGCTCTAACGATTCAATATCCGTATTTTATACTTATATACCTATAAAGTTCTTGTTTATTATGTAGTTTCCATTTCGCTTTATCATTTGATAGCCGCATTATCTCGTTCTATGTCACAGTATGTAATCTAACGTATTTACTAGTTATTTGCTTATCTCACTACATATATTCACTTTTCTGGACTCTCAGTTAATTTCTGCTGTTATTTTCTCAGATATAACTTATCATATCCCATACATCCAAATCCATAAAATTTTACAGAATATGTTCTTATTAATAATATTTAAAGGTTGTATGCACTTACGAGAGATTTTATTTAAATTTTAAATTGTGATGACATAATAAAATTCCACAAAGAAGTTATAGCACATACCAGTGAATAATATTATTTAATGCTGCCATGAAAAAGGAAAAAGAAAAGAATATGCAAGGATAAAAGGCATTCGGCAGGAAGTTATCCCTTAGTGAGTCGGTATTTAATATAAGCGTCTTATATACATAATATATCTATATAAAATTCTCCTGTTATAATCTTTGTTTTCATACTCCTCCGAAACGAAAAATTCCTCCGAAAAATTTTATATGCATAGGTCTAAGAATCGGCTACTATCTATTTTTCATAGCTCTAAGTGATAAGAGTTGACCACCGATAACATTTTTCTTTATTTTTTAAACGAATTTTTATTTTTTTTAATGTGGCACTAAAAATACATAGAACCTAAAATTTTTAATACCGATTATAATTTATGGCAACACAATGTTTGCGGGGTCAGCTAGCATATTACTATAGTATATATACTATACTACTATATATACTATACTACTATATATACTATACTATATAGTATATATTACTGATCGAGGTGTTCGCCACTCGTTTTAGCCAACATTCTGAGAGAAAATTTTTAAGATCTATTGTTGTATAACAGTTCATAACAGTAGAGTAACTCTCACTTGAAATGATTACTAAACACACACATAACGTTCAGAGTGTAAGTCTATACAGTTAATTTGGTCACGTCATCATGATAATGACATTATGGCATATCAAAATTATGCATCATAGAATGGTATTCCATCGTTAATGCTTCGGCCTTGATGGTCAAGCGGTTTAGCATACAGCTTCACTCCCGATGGTCGCGGGTTCGATTTTTCGCACAATATTTGTATTCGTGAGTACGACTGTTTGTATCGGTCTGGGTGTTTTCTATGTATATTATGTATGTATTTACAAAAATAATACTAGACAACTGATATAAATATCTAAGTATTTGTATCAGTTGTTTAATACCCATAACACGAGCTCTCTTACCGTGATTAGATGACGCTGTGTTAATTGTCCAGATTAATTTATTATTAATGCCGGGCAGAATTTTATATCTACATGTACTAATTAATATTATAAAAAGGAAAAATTTGCTAGTTTGGATTTTCGAAATAATCTCTGGTACTAACATCCGATTTTAAAAATTATTCAAGTGTTGGATATTCTCTATATTTATATATTCTATCTATTTATTTAGGAAGATTGTAGATTATATAACATTACACTACGATAAATAAGAGCAGAGCTGCATTGAAAAATATTTTTCATTTGGCAACATTGCCAAAACGAGGAAAACGTTTCGCAGACAATGTTGTGTGGGTCAGCTATTATTCCATAGTAGTAAAAAGAATAATAGACTTCGTCAATTCACACAGCGCCATCTAGTCCCAAGCTGAACAGAGCTTGTGTTATAGGTACTAGACAACATACATAATATACATAGAAAACACCCAGACCAATACAACCATACTCATGCATACAAATGTATGCACTGTGCGAAGAATCGAACCAGCGACCATCAGAAATAATGCTATGTGCTAACCCGCTAAACCACATAAAATACTTAAACACTAATAATATTAACTTGTACAGATATATTCCATTTCAGCACGACAGTAGGCGGCTGTTTGTCATGCATATACAACGTTTGCTTTATTTTTAGTAATACTCTTGATTTCACGCGATTATCTGACTTCCTATCGCTGATTTTATGTCAATCCGACATGATTACTACGTGTGATGTAATCTAAATCATGTGTCAGGTTAATGTCATGTTTTTAATATCGAGATCTATTGATAAATTAACGTGATCGTTTGCTCTTCTGATGATGATAATAATTGCTTTCTTGAAATATGATAGCGTAGCGGTTTTGTATTGATTGCCGCATGCATTCCTATGTCAAGTGCGGATATTATAACTACTATATGGTAATTTTTAGTAGCTATGACGTGGTTCAGTGGATTGAGTAGTCATGCTCACTAAAATACCAGGCGTGTGTCGACGCGATAGGCCTGGTCATTGTTGATTGTTAGATAGTACGGGATAGGTATGATGAACGAGTGGTGCTTATAGGGACTGGTCTGCCCTAATCATTACGACTGACGTGATCCTGTTGTGTATTTAATATTTGACCCTAATAAATTAGTGGTACTTGGTAGTTTGTATTTAGATGTTTCCACTTAAAAATGGAAAGTTATAACGATCATTTAAAAGAGCAACACTCGAGTTTCTTGCTCATTCTTCTTGTGATGAGACAGCTTTCCGAATGAGCGGTAGATAAAAATGAGGATAACTATGACTATTCAAAAGTGCTTAAATTAAGTTTGTTTGAATAAATGATTTTCTATTCTATTCTATTTTATTCTATTCTTCGTGAAATTTCACAGTTTGTTTCAAAGTTGTTGTATTCGATTTCGTAGTAT